TGCTACTGCTACTGCTACTGCTACTGCTACTGCTACTGCTACTGCTACTGCGACGACGACGACTACTGCTCCTGCTACTACTACTACTACGACGACGACGACGACTACTACTACTACTACTACTCCTGTTACAACTACTACGACGACGACTACTACTACTCCTGCTACTACTACTACTACTACTACTACTACTACTACTAATTACGACGAGTACGAGTGCGAGTGCGAGTGAGAGTGCGAGTGCGAGTGCGAGTGCGAGTGCGAGTGCGAGTGCGAGTGCGAGTGCGAGTGCGAGTGCGAGTGCGAGTGCGAGTGCGAGTACTACTACTAGCTAGTGCGGCCAGCGCGAAAGATCCGCGAAAGTCCTGCTAAAGTCGAGTTTGCCATATCAAGGCAACGAAAATTGCGTTTTCGTGAAGAAGGTCATTCGGCAATACATTTATTTAGATCAAGGCCCCTATATTTTTTATAGAACAGTAATAGTAATGTTAAGAAGAAGAATAATTAATGACAGTAACAATAATTAGAGTAATATCAATAATAATAATCGCAGCATTACGTACAACTAAATGACGAACTGACTACGATCGAGCCGTCATGATTTTGATGCTTGTAGGCGCTCCAGAGTAGGATGGGCCACCCCCGCCTCACTCGGAGGTTCATGGGTAGTTTCAAGTGGGTTTAGGGTTTAGGGTGTAGGGTTTAGAGTTTAGGGTTTAGGGTTTAGAGTAGGCTAACTATAATTGTAACCCTTTTCAGGCAACTTACAAGCCCACTTTGACTACCCATGAATCTTGGAGTAGGGCTTTCGAGATTTGGGGTGCTTTTGTATCTGGGCCGCATTATTATCAACCCTCAACCCGAAACCCTAGGCCCTACACCCTAAACCGCCTAAACCCTAAACCCCTAAACCCTATATGGCCCTAAACTCCTTGAAACCTATAGTCGTCTGCCTTGAAGGATGGTGCCGCAGTTGCTGTACTGCCACCAGCCGAGCCAGACACAGCACGACGGGCAGAGGCACGCTGTTCTCGTCTTTTTTGCATGTGTTGGTTCCGAGTAGGGGTCTCGGCTTCAGAGTGGCTTGAGGGTATTTGCAACGGTTTAGGGTTTAGGGTTTATGATGGCGATTGAGTTTTTCAGGCACAGTTTGTCGGGTTTAGGGACACTGGTACTGCTACTGGGGCTGCTGCCACTTGTCCTCCTGCTGCCGCTGCTCCTCCTCATACGATGCCGACTACTGACTACTGCGCTATTATGGTTGCCACTAGCTTCATTTGATTGCCGTGATATTCCAGAGCAATGAGTAGAGTGGCATTAATATAGGGGCCTCAATAATTGCCTATTATAACTAAAGTATAATGTACGCCAAAACCCTATTCTAATTAGTAAGGCCCCTACATCAGTCTCTTCCTCACTTTTGGTTTCAGTCACAGCCTGATCAGCGATCAGGGGTTTCTTTTTGCATGAACAGGTTGTCCCCTGAATGGAAACCTCCCCGCCCAAACCCCTGGCCCCGACCTCCATAGCATTATGTTAAGGAACCACCTAAAGCGCACTAGTCCGCAACATTCCGCAACGTTCGGGCAGCCTGCGAGGATGGCGCCAAGGCGGCGGCGCTGCCGCCAGCGGAGCCGAAAACGGTGCGATGGGCACACTTCATGGCTTGCTTCAGGGGTTGAGGGCTTGCGGTTTGCAACTCAGTCAGGATTTGGGTGGAGAGGCTCTAGTACGGTCAACAGCTCGATGGTTTCTAGAGTCAAGCTTTTTGTGTGCTCGGGGCTTGCTTAAGATCTACAGCATGCTTTTGATATCAGCCTCATACAGCCTGCACCATTCTGCATGCAGAACTGCGTGCATGCGACTTAAGAGTGGGTCTAGGAAAATACGATGTTGCGAATTTGCCGAGGTTTCAGAGTTTACGCGTTTCAATTTCGGATTCCGTGTGGGAGACGGACGAGCCCTGGAAAAGTTCACAGGACGTCGCCATAGACATTGATCTCGACGAAGCACCGTCGAAGACAGCGGCGACGCCAGCAGAGACTTCGATTAACTTAGATCCGAATGTGCCAATGACGGCTTACTTAATTCTATGCTGAAGGCGGACTGGACGTGCTACTACTTCCTTTTTCCGGTGCCTATGTCAGTGTACTTGCTGTCATTACTCGTCATTTTCGCATCTTCGACAGAAGCAAGCTTCCTGCGTGAACTGGGAAGCACGGAACCTAAACCCTGAAACGCTGAAGCCTGCACCCTTACCCGCACGGAACCTTGCAGAAACTGAAACCTCAACCCCCTAAAACCTAAACCCCAAAAGCCTCAACTCTAAACCCCAAAAGCCTAAACCCTAAACCCCAAAAGCCTCAACTCTAAACCCCAAAAGCCTAAACTATAGACCCCAAAAGCCTAAACCCTAAACCCCAAAAGCCTAAACAGTAAACCCCAAAAGCCTCAACCCTAAACCCCAAAAGCCTCAACCCTAAACCCCAAAAGCCTAAACCCTAAACCCTAGACCCCAAAAGCCTAAACCCAGGACCCCGGAACCCTGTAAAGCCGCCGAGGATCCCAAGGCGGCAGCGCTGCCGCCGGCTGAGCGGAAAGTGGTGCCTTGGGTAGTACAGGGGCCTTAAGAATTAGAATGGGGTCTGAGGTATATGAAGGGTTTAGGGTTTAGGGTTTAGACTATAAGTATAAACAAGGAACACCCAAAACCCTATTCTAATTAGGGCAGCGTAGAGTATTCCAGGGTTCTACAACGCATCATAGGGTGCTATCTGGTTTTCGGGACGTCAAACATTTAGGGTTTGAGGAGTTCAATTAAATAGCAGCTCAGGGTTTCGAGAGTCTCAGGTTTTCAGAGAATGCGCACTTATGGCTTATAGGCTTTGCTTTTAAAGTGCCACTACATGCGTTTGGTGTTGAATTCCGCCTTTTGCATTGAAGGTGGGTTTGGGACTTTCAAAAAGCCTGATGTCGCGAGCACTTGTCTCACTGGGCGGAGTTCATAACGGGCCTGGCTTTCCGAGGTTCTTGTCCCTACACTCAAACTCGAAACCCGAGAAACATTCACAGGACGCAGCGATCGACATTGATCTCGACGATGGGCCTGCGCCGACAAAGACGAAGGCGACACCAGCGGAGACTTAAGTGAAGTTCGGTCTGCAGTTGTCACGGAAGGCCCGAACTGGTTTAATTGTATTTGTTAGGTTCCATTATTTTGTTTTAACTCGTTTATAATCTACCCAAGAAATCTGTTCGAATAATTAAGGCCCCTCTATTAGACTACTACTACTACTACTACTACTACTATTACTACTGCTACTGCTATCATTGCTAACAACTAGTACCATACACTCGGGTTTGGGCTGCCAGATTAGGATGTGGACCTCGACCCCGAAACATTTAATCGCTTAGCCGAACCCTAGACTCGATGTAGACTCTGCCTATAGTCTCCATTGTAGTTCCTCTTTGAGGATTACCCTTCAGGATTCCAGTTATAAATGACCGAACAGGGGAACTACGATGGAGAATCTAGGTAAATCCTAGATCGTTCCCTCTACACCCGGCTTACCTAAACCTAAACCCTAAACCCTAAACCCTATCTGGACCCTAAAGCATTCTTCCTGCAGTCCAGCTGCTCTGACTGAATACTTGAAGCCCTAATGTCCCAGAGCTTAATGGTAAGGTAAAACAGAAGAAGCCTTTAATCATAATGATAATATTAATGTACATGTTTGAAGGACGGGATGTAATGATGACAACGTTTATGAATGCTAAACGCCCTGACCCCCGTCCTACACTTCAGGATGGCGCCAAGGCGGCGGCGTTGCCGCCAGCGGAGCCGAAAGCGCGCTGGGTAAGGTTTTCATGAAGTGCGGATGCTCCAGTTCCTGTCAATGTTGACAGTACAAGGTTTCTGGAATGTTAAAAATGTTCGATCATGTTTTGGGTGGGTGTCAGGTTCAGGGCTTGACGCTTAGTTGCCACGTTCCAGGGCTACGAATTGCTGTTTGTATTGCTTTCGGAATGGAGTTGCGCGGGGGTGGAGCATGAATCACTTGCTTAAGAGCATGGGTTTTGCGGCGGCCCGCGACTGCAGTAAGAGATGGAAGGCTTTAGAGTGTCAGCCCGGCTTGAACAGGCTATCCTCACGTACTTATGTTGGATTCTGCTTGAGGTTTTGTTCGGAGCCCCTGTAGGACTTGAGGTTTTTCGGCCATGTCCTGCAACGAAGGCGTCGAACCGCAGGTTGGGGGCAGGGTCGCAGATTTCGACGTTGAGGCATTCAGTTAGGGTTTAGGGTTCGCCCCGCTTTACTAGCCGAAGATGGCACGCCGACGTTTTTGTTGACAGGATGTCACCATAGATATTGATCTCGACGATGCGCCTGCGCCGACGAAGGCGGTGGCCAGTCAAGCAGAGACTTTGACGAAGTTTGAATCCTTGGTGATGGTCTCAACCCCAAACGCGAAACCCTTAAACCCCAAACCCCTAAGCCATCAAAGCTTCATGCGGCTGCTCACAAGTTATTTGAATCATTGAACATAGGACCTACCTGCCTAGGGTCTCATACCCTTCCCCATTTTTAGGTTACCTACTTTTCTATATTACAGATCCTAACTGAGGAACCAGTTACCCTAAACAAAAGGAGTAGGGTATGAGACTCTAGTTGGGGTTTCAACAAGGCCCTAGGCAAGCTCCGTTTCCTGCTGCCTCAAGGAGCTCAGAATCTCTAGCCAGCATGCAGCATCGAGGCATAAGGCAAATAACCCTCAACTTCAAGCCCTAAACCCGAAAGGCCCTATAAACTCCAGAAGCCCTGGTTAAGTCTTACTAGTCCTGTGCCGCATGTACTCGGAGACTTGCGGCTTCAGGGTTCGTGATGTTAAGGGTTTATGGCTTAGAGGGTTAAGCCCTCGGACCCCAAGACCTTCCAATATCCCGCAAGTAAGGAATATATGCTACAAACTTATGGTAGGATCCTTAATATGATTTGATTTTGAAGGTATGTTCCTTGTCTTTAAGGGATATTGGAAGGTCTAGGCCTAAACCCTAAACCCAGGATCCTAGATCCCAAGCCTGCGCTGTGCTCCACCGGCAACCTGTAAACCTGAAGATGATGACGATCATGAGTCGCTGCTGAATCTTATAGTGATGGGCCATGATACTGATGGAGATCGTGTGGGTCACTGGTTGGCGATCATCTGGCCGCTGTGCTTAGCGACTTAGCGTCCGATATCGATCCTAAACCCTAAACCCTAAACCCTAAATCTTAAATCCTAAAGCTTTAAACTCGCCTGAGGAGGGCTCCCCTCCGGTTGCGGCGCCGAAACCGGCGCCACGAAAACGGCGGAGGGCAGAGGCTCATGTGGCTCAGGGGAGTTGAAATAGGTTATAAGGGTTTACTGGGTTTAGGGCTTAGGGTTGGCATGGGCTATAATAAGATGTTATGAGGGTTTACTGGGTTTGGGTTTAGGGTTTAGGGTTGGAATGGGTTATAAGGGTTTACCGGGTTTGGGTTTAGGCTGTCGGGGCCGGTAATATACATCGTGAGGACAAAACTCACGACCCACTAGACCATCCCTCTAAGAAGACCTGTTGGGGAGTGATGGAATGCCCAGAACCTCAAATTACGTGCATGACCTGGCCAGCGAAATGTTTCACGGTCCTCTTGAAGTCCTAGACTCTAAACCCTAAGCCCTGAACCCGATACCCTAAACACTGAATCCTGGCCTTGAACCTTGCTGGGATCCTAGTTGATGCACATGGGCCATTTTACTTGAATGCACCGGAGAGCGCACCTTGTGGCCTGAATTATACTTCACTGCAATATACTATACTAACATTTACACAGAACGATAACAACCTCTTTGTACTACTTTGCTTGAAGCCAATGCAGCAATCTACAGAGCTTAGCCTGCAAGCACTAAGCTAGGCCCTATACTAACATAAAGGAGCCTCGGCCCTGTATGGTAATTATACAGTAACCCTCCGAAACCCTATTCTGAGCCCTAAAACCCTAAACTCCCAAACACTAAATCCTAAACACTACCCAAAGCATAAGCCACTGCTCCTATCACATCCTGCGGACCATGCGAAAACGGAGTCTTGGAAAAGGCTCATGTTTCAGCCTCAGGCCCCCGAAGTGCGAAACCCCGAACGAGTGTCTTGCTGAATCGTGAAATGCAGCCAGGAAGATAAGTCTCAAAATTACCATCGCAGAGCCCAAACTCCGAAACCCTAGAACCTAAGCCCTAAACCCCTAAACCCCTAAACCCCTAAACCCCTAAACCCTAAACCCCTAAACCCCTAAACCCTTGATCCCAATCCTAAAGCTCGCTTCTCCCATCCTGGAGGAAGTTGAGGTGGTCGAGGTAACTCCCACCACAGAGAAGGCCACCCCGCTGGGGCACGGAGATTCTGGGATCCTTTAAACAAGGGATCTTACGCCTATACTCCTAAATCCTACACCCTAAACCATAACTCCGAAATCTTCCGCCCTAAATCCTAAAGCCTAAAACCGATACTCCTAAACCCTAAACCCTGGACTCGGAGACCCCGCAATCCTCTTTAGTCCTGGACCCCAGACCCGGAAGACTTTGCACCTATAGATCGACCGACGAATTTATGAACTTAAAGATGACTCCGAAGTCCTAAGCCATAAAGCCGAAATCGTCTTAATTTCGTCAACATCTCGGTAAACTCTCGGGCTCGGATTATGGTTGCGATGGCTGTACTTCCGGGTTCAGCCACAGCTGAAGTTCAGGGTTGTGACTAGCAGGGCATGCTGTAGGGGTGTGGGTGCGGGATTGGTGGGTTTTCGCTGTTCGGCCCCCGGCCAAAAAGTACTTCGTACGAACAAACTCTGAGACCCCCAAGCTTAGGCCTAGGTTTAAGGGGCTAGGGCGGCTAGGGTTTAAGGCTAAGGGTTTAAGGTTTAAGGGTCCAGGCTTTAGGGTTTTGGGGGTTAGGGGTTTAGGGTTTAGGTTTATAAGGATAACTCTGGAACCTCAGGCCCCAAACCCTCAAGGCCCTAAATGCAACTAAACCAAGCCAATCCGAAGCAGCAGTCAGGTTACATGGGGCACTTGAAGACTTCAAGACGGTAGCGCAGTAGTAGAGTGCGTAACCTTGAACCCTTTTGGGTATCAGAACCCCCGTATCATGCCAAAGGCTAACCTTCAGTTCCCCTAGGATACTGGACAGCTAAGGCATAGCCAACCCCAGATAGCCCCGCACATCGCGAAGCCCCACAGCCCACAGGCCATCGATGCCCAACCTTATGCCAAAGCTTCGCCCTAAACCCTACGCCCGAAGACGCCTAATCTGAAATTTTATAAAAGCCTTTAGCAATCCGAAACCCGACACATAGCCACTAAACCTTAAACCCTAATAAACCCTAGAAGACCCTGGCAGGCTGCCACAAGACGGCGGAATAGAGGGCAGCGCCTCAGCCAGCGGATCGGATCGAGAGGGCTGGCTTAGAGGGGCCTTTGGTTTAAGGTTTAGGGTTTAGGGTTTAGGGTTTAGGGCTTAGGGTTTAGGGTTTAGGGTTTAGGGTTTAGGGTTAAGGGTTTAGGGTTTAGGGTTTAGGGTTTGGGCTTTTTCGCGAATCCCGCAGCAAGAGCCCTAAATAGCTAGGTTCCCCCCAGTACTTTGTACCCTCCTGCCCTTTGTCTTGTAGGGTTCCTTTATTACACAACAAATAGTAGGAAAAAAGGTACCCTTAGCATTAAGGGGCTACAGCGGAACCTAGGTAGGAGTGTTTGTTGTACGGGGTTTCGTTTGTGGGTCGGGTCCGGAATCAATGCTGCCCGTTGCGAGCTTCGTCATAGCAGGTTGCACACGCTGCTGTCCAGGTTAAGTACCGTCAAGCAAACGCCCTGGAAAAGCGCACATAGCCGTTCCACTCTAATTTGTTAGCTTTTGTTTCGGGCTTCTCCTTCGACAACCACTTACATTGATTATCCAGTGTCGCTTGGCTTCGGCTTCAACACAGGATAGGTCACCAGCATTTCGGCATGCCACTGGCTTAGAGAAAGCTCTCAACCCGTGCACGACCGGAAAACTAAAGCCGTCTAGAGGGGTTCCTACATTGTCGTCCTGTGTCGAGTCGAGCCCATTTAGTCGGAGGAGCGACACCTTAAACCCTAAAACCCTACGTATAATCCAGCAGGGCATTTCAGAGAGTCACCCATCAGGCATCAAGATGCACCCTCACAAAGCTCTAACCCCATTCACCGCCGTAAAAGAACCCAGACCCCAAACCCTAAACCCCTACACCCCAACACCCTAAAACCCTAAACCCAACAGAGGCTCCAAACCCTAGACCCTAAGAGCCCCTTAAACCCCTATAAACTCTAAACCTTAAACCCAACAGAGGGCGGAGTTGGTGGGTGTTTGCTGTATATTATACTATACTTATAATAAGAACCCCCCCCTCAAAAATATCAGCTAAACCCTAAACCCTAAACGGACCCCTAAGATAGTATAGGGAACTAAATTAAGGCCCCTATATCAGCTCTCCCAGGAAGGCAGCCAGCGATCCGATCGACATCGACTGATGCCCCGATCGGTTCGGAAAAGCCCCAGGGTTTAGGGTTTAAGGTTTAGGGGTTTGGGGTTTATAGGGGTTTATAGGGGTTTAAGTTAAGGGGCTCTTTGGGTCTAGGTTTTGGAGCCTCTGTTGGGTTTAGGGGTTTAGGGTTTAGGATTAGGATTAGGATTTGGGGTTTAGGGTTTCAGGTTTGGGGTTTAGGATTTAGGGTTTAGGTTTTACGGTTCGGAAAAGTGCCGGCGGTCAGAGGATCCAGGGCTTGTCTTTGACCACTTGATGTAATATAGACGCCTACATAACTACCAAAAATATTTCTTAGGGTTCCTATTCTAAGATTACTATAAAGGGGCCCAAAACCCTAATCTAATGATTATTAAGGCCCCTACATTAGGGTTTAGGGATCCTCAACCTCCAGAACGAATCGCCTCAAAGGAACTAGCAAACTCACAGCCGGCTTTCAGTAGCAAGGTAGCGGATGCCAAGTCTACAAGATTGAGGCCATAGTCCACATCGCCCTGCAGCCTGTTAGCCATGGAGCCATGCGTTTTTCTTACGCTCTCTATGATGAGTGGGGCGCACAAGGATCTGGCGCACGTTGTTGGCAAAGAAGTCTTTGAAGTGTCGGAAGTAAGTACAGCTCCCGTGACGTGCTCATTGGTGACATTCGCTCACAGGCTTTGGCAAGTCGCCTGGTGGACAGGACGTTGGTCTACTTTTGTCCAAGGTTCCAATGGCAAAGGCTGAAACCCTGCATCTTGGGTCGAAGGCGCTGATTTACAGGGATCAAAGCTCTGCAGTCATCATTGCACGTATGCACCATGAAGAATGCATCGAAGCCTCTCTGTCCAAGGTTGTCCCGCCCAAAGTTACCAGGCCCCTTGCCATGCGCACCTGAGGGTCGGTCAATGCTTGACGGACACCGAAGGCTCCCAAAGCTTTGCGCAACCTCGAATCCCACGCGTACAAAGCTGGCGTTGTTGGTTTTTTGGCGGTACTCTCCTGCCATAGAGGGCTCCACCGTCATGAGCTTTTCTCTTCCGGCAACATTGAGCCGCAGCAGTTGCACCTGAACGAAGCACAGCGGAGTACTCTGGGGTCTCAGCTTAGCTGGAACGGGCTCGGGCGCTCGAAGACGGGAACGAACATGGAAGAGGCCCAGTGCATAAAAAACAGGACGACGAAAGGCATAGAGGAAGATACATATGATAAGTCTTTACGATGGCCTTGTGGGTGGAAGTGTCGTGAGATGGTACAAAGGAGTTTGCAGGAGAAGTCCTACGATGGTGGTTTCCCCAAGCTTGTTTTCTGCAGCACATGTACCCGGAAGCTTCGTGCGAGTTGGCGTGCGCGAGTGTGCCAAGCGCCGGATATCCAGAGTACAAGAGCCTCACTTAATAGGGCCCTAGACATTACCAATACCATTTTGGCGGTTCAACTATGGCATAATATATCCCAAAACTTTGCTGGGGCATGTTACACCATAATTATAATAAGGAAGCCCCAAAATAGTATTGGTAATGATTAAGGCCCCTATAGTAACACCGGCAAAGGCATCCTGACCCTGAGCTCTGCACGAAATGCAAGCAGCTGCGGGTGCTAGAGAGGAAGCAGGCAGCAGGAGCCGGATCCTTAGGGTTTAGGGTTTAGGGTTTAGGGTCAAGTGACTCAAGTGCCAAGAGTGCGAAGAGCAATTCGAGTTCAATGTGCCGGACGGTCCACAGTATTGCCCCAAGTGCGCTGAGAAGATGGCACCTTCAGCGGACACTCGATGCGAAGGAGGCGCCCAAAGCACGGATGAGTCCGACTGCTGCGATTGGTCGGTTATCTCAATCTCTGAACTTTCCTTGCCAACTTGGAAGGTGCGAAAGGAAGGGAAGGGAGCTTCGCGTAGATGCTAGCATGTCGAAGGACGGTGTGAGGGCAAGATCATCCGGGCAGGTGGACGATGCGCTTTGCCTAGAAGAACAGATCCGAATGCCAGATGTGCAGGCGTTGCAGTAGAAACAATGTACGAGGGGTAATGTAGGGGCCTACATAGTTACCAGTACTAATTATCTTGGGGGTTCCTTATTATAAATATAGTATCATATACCCCCAAAACCCTATTCTAATTATTAAGGCCGCTACATTAGCAGCATTGAGCGACTTCTGGGGCACCAGGCAACATGCCGGGTATTGTGCCGGACTCAAGGGTGGCCTACTTACAATCCATTTCGTTGCTACGGCTACTAGAGTGTGATATAGGGGCCTTAATGATTAGAATAGGGTTTGGGGGGTATATAATACTACAATAAGGACCCCCCCCAAAAAAAAAAAAAAATCCTGTTCTATTTATTATACATTATGAACCTCGGATGGTTTCCAGCGGGTTAGCAGACAGAGGTAGCCAGCACGTTCGGCCTGCCAGATTTGGATCAGCCAACATCAGTGGCGTCAGCCTTTCTCTTGCTTTCCCTCGCTTGCCCTCGCCCCCTGCCGTTTCAGAACATGGCATGCCCCAAGCACCTCGAGCAGAGCATCGCTACGTCCCTGCGACAGCACCTGAATGTCGGGAAGGACGCTAGCTGCTCCGTGTTGAGGTCTCCGTCTTTTTTTTGTCCCGCACTCCAGCCCCGAACCCTAAACCCTAAACCCACCCTATGGCCCAGCCTTCAGGGTTTAGGGTTTAGGGTTGGGGTTTCAGGACACCGCGACCAGCAACGAGCTTCAGAATGCCTTCGAGCTCAGCCAGGAGTTCAGCCGCACCAAGCCACCAGACTTCTCGGAGCTCTCGGAGTGTCGGGGGGATAAGGAAGTTAAACCGTAAGCGCCCTAAAGCCGAAACCCGAAACCCCTAAACCTAACCGAAACCCGAAGCACTAAACGCTAAAATCCGCTAAAAGCCTAAACTGAAACCCATCCAGATGGTGGGCCCGAAGGAACCTTAGAACTTGTTTCTTCGGAGCTTACGGTATCGACTTCCTTCTCTGATCGACGTCCGACAAGCCGGCCTGCTAGCTTTGCTCGGCTCTTGAGGGTTTGGATCCATGATCTTGAGGGTTTAGGATTAGGATTTCGGGTTCAAGGGTTTAGGGGTTTGCGGTTTCGAGTTTCGGGTTTAGGGTTTAGGATTCAGGGGTTTAGGGTTTAGGGGTTTAGGGGGGTTAAGCCAAGGAGTAGCCTGAGAGGCATAGAAGGGTGCCTGGTACTACCGGTGGCTGGTAGTAGACTTGCTAGTTCGGCCATAGCTGTGATGTAACCCTAAGGGTCCATGTACTCAAACAGTATGTACTTGTGGCTTTAAAGTAGTACCTATATAGGTACTTTGAGGCCAAAGTATATACCATTTGGGTACATGGACCCTTGGGGCAACAGAAAGAGGAGCAGTATCTTTGACAGCAACAGAAGAAGTAGCGGGAAGGAAAGCCGTTCATAAAGGCGCAAATACAGTTTCGAGAACTTCGACCCTGTCCCACTGCTCCTAAACCCTAAATAGCCCATAAACCCTAAACCCTAAACCCAATTCCCTTAAACCCTGACCTCAAGCCCTAGACCTCTCAGCCCTATAACCTAGACCCTCCCCAGTCTGCGCGGCACCAAAGTGCAGAAAATCCTCGAACTTCCCGAATCATCCTGACAAAATAACCTCCAAACCCTAACCTTAAGCCACAAGGCAATAAGTCCCGCGTTAAACCACCCATGTAACGATGTTGCACGCCTTTTCAGGGCACCTTCTGGAACCTTTAAGCCAAAACTCTGAACCCGAAGACCCTTAACCCTAAACCCTAAAGCCTAAACCCTAAAGCCTTAACCCAAACGAACCCAGGTTTGACATCCTGGACCAAGCATCTGACCTTGGTCTTGAGGCAATCGCTTGGGGGTTGACGCTCCAGAGTTAGGGTTTACTGGGTTCTTGTTAAGGGATTTAATTTAAGTTACCATAATAAGGAAACCATATTATTTACTATAGATCCCTATTATTGT